ATAAAATTAGTGTGTGGAATAAGAATGGCTTTGATGATTTAAATAATTTGAGTAAAGCTGGCAAAAGACACGAAAGTTGTAACGTCACATCAATTCTTTCATAAAATTGAAGCAATTTGGAAATCAAAACAGAATAGAATTTAACATTAGTAGACAATATAAAATAAATATTGAAAATTATAACAAGATAATTATGGCTAATAGATATATTATATCTAAATTAATAGATGTTATATGTTTTTTCTCAAAGGAAGAATTGGCATTTAGAGGGCATAGGGAATCTATTGAATCTAATAACAGAGGTAATTTGAACTTGTTTATTTATTAAGTATGTCAGATAATCTATTAAAAATACATTTAAAGAAGTGTACGGTTTTTATTGGCTTATTGAACAAAGGAATACGAATGGTCCCTGACATGCAATTAACTGATTGCCCCCATAAGTCAGCTTCTTACAGAAACACAGCTTCCCTATCATCAAATGTCATGGCATGCCACTGGAACATATGCATTGAATCGTGAGTGGTTTGATGAATACCGAGTTCTGCTCTGAAGTACTGGGCATGTACAATTGTATATGCAATAAAAGATTGATTGATTGAATGGTTTAGTGAATACTGAATTGAATTTCCATGTACAGTACTGTTAAAATTTCTGAAAAAAGGAATGTTTTTATACAATCTTTGATCTCAGCATCTATTTCTCCAAGTCTGTAAAATGTCATCAAGGATTCTTGCTATTTACTTTGTCATAAAAATAACAACTTATTCCACATTATTACTTTATTTCTTAAAAAATAGCCTTATACAGTTTGATGTGTAATTAACCAAAGTAGGAAAAGAGGGCACATATCCTTTTCCTTTTCATGGAAGATGAGATTTTTTCTATTTCATCTTTTGAGGTGAATCAAGGTGAATAGATTAACATTAAGAGTGTAGTTTTCTAGATGAACAGCTCCTCAATCAGAGAATAAATGGGATCCTTAGCTGATGGATACTGGAATAGCCTGTAATAGGCAAGTTAACCGCAAATAAATGTGTAATACTGGTAATTAAACAGTTGCAGACCATGAGTGGCAGAATCAACAGGAGAGTGTAAACTGTCTGGTAAATGTAGTTCTATAAAATGCCATATATATCCTATGACAAGTCCAAGTCAAGAGAAGAAAGGAACACCTTAAAAGCCCTAGCTGTTGGTAGCAAAACAGCCAATACTGACAAAGTTATAAATGAACAATTATTTATTGTAACATCATCACAATGCTGTGCTGCAGTTTTTAATCACATTTTTAATTTATTTAATTTAAAATATCTTCACCTCAAATTAGTATTGGCTTGCCCCTATACATCATACTTTTCCTTAACAACAGAGTTGTGCTGGTCATCTATTAACCTGTCCTGTGTTGTTCCCGAAAATATTCATGTTGACCTCAATCCGAATATTTTCGTGTCTACATCAAAACGTTTATGATACTAGATGTTGCTATGCGTCACAATTTTTATATTAAAACGAACTTTTGAAATATAGTTTTTTTGTTGTTGTTATATTTTTCAATATATTTATTTTCTTTGTGCAACATAAAAAAAATAATTTTTAATGACACAGTAAAC